GCAGGAAGCCTTCAAAACAATCAGTGAGGCCACTGGACAATCGATGTGCTAAAGGAGCACTCAAGAAAGACAAGGCCATTGCAGAGAAGCTAAATGAATTCTTTGCATTGGTCTTCACTGCAGAGGATGTGAGGGAGATTCTTACACCTGAGCCATTCTTTGTAGATGACAAATCTGAGAAACTGTCCCAGGTTGAGTGTCAATAAAGAAGGTTTTGGAAGAAATTAAACAGTAATAAGTCACCAGGACAAAATGGTATTCACCCAAAAGTTCTGCAAGAACTTAGATATGAAATTGCAGAACTACTAACTGTTGTGTATAACCTACCACTTAAATCAGCTTCTGTACCAGATGACTGGAGGATAGCTAATGTGATGCCAATTTTTAAAAAAAAGATTCCAGAGGTAATCTTGGCAATTACAGGTCAGTAAACCTAACTTCAGTACCACGCAAATTGGTTGAAACTATAGTAAAGAACAGAATGATCAGAAACACAGATGAACACAATTTGTTGGGGAAGAGTTAACACAGCTTTTGTAAAGGGAAATCATGCCTTAACAATCTATTAGAATTTTTCGAGGAGGTCAACAAACAGGTGGACAAAAGTTACCCAATGGATGTAATGTACTTGGATTTTCAGAGAATCTTTGACAAGGTCTCTCACCAAAGCCTCCTAAGCAAAGTAACCAGTCATGGAATAAGAGGGAAGGTCCTCTTCTGGATCAGTAACTAGTTAAAAGACAGGGATGGGGAAAGGGGAAGGAATAGATAGTCAGTTTTCAGAATGGAGAGAGTTAAATAGCAATACCCCCGACGGATCTGTACTGGTAAGAGTGCTGTTCCACATATTCATAAGTAAACTAGAAAAAGGGGTAAACAGTGAGGTGGCAAAGCATGCAGATGATACAGAATTAGTCAGGATAGTTAAGTCCAAAGCAGACTGAAAAGAGCTACAAAGGGATCTCTCAAAACTGTGTGACATGGCAACACAATGACAGATGAAATTCAATGTTGATAAATGCAAAGTAATGCATATTGGGATTATGTTTTCCAACTATACGTACAAAACGATGGGGTCTAAATTAGCTGTTCCCACTCAAGAAAGAGATCTTGGAGTCATTGTGGATAGTCTTCTGAAAACATCTGTTCAATATGCAGTGGCAGTCAAAAAAGGTAACAATGTTAGGAAAGGGATAGATAATAAGACCATAAATATGATAATGCCAATATGTAAATTCACGGTACATCCACACCTTAAATACTGCATGCAGTTCTGACTGCCCCATCTCAAAAAAAGATATATATTGGATTTGGAAAAGGTACAGAGAAGGGCAACAAAAATTATGAAGGCTATAGAACTGCTTCCATCTGAGGAGAGATGAAAAAGACTGGGACTTTTCTTCTTGGAAAAGAGGTGACTAAGAGAGCTTATAATTAAGGATTATAAAATTGACGGGTGTGGAGAAAATGAATAAGGAAGTGTTATTTACCCCTTCACATAACACAAGAACCCCGGTCACCCAATAAAATTAATAGGCAGCAGGTTTAAAACAAACGTAAGAAAGTACTTCTTCAGACAACACACAGTCAACCTGTGGGAACTCATTGCCTGGGAATGTTGTGAAAGCCAAAACTATAACTGGTTCAAAAAAGAATTAAATAAGTTCATCAATGGCTATTAGCTAAGATGATCAGGGATGCAACCTCATGCTCTGGGTGTCCTAAGCTTCTGACTGCCAGAAGCTGGGAGCAGATGATAGGGGATGGATCACTTGATGATTGCCCTGTTGTTTGTTCCCTCTGAGGCATCTGGCATTGGCTGCTCTCAGGAGACAGGATACTGGGTTCGATGGACCATTGGTCTGACCCAGTATGGCCACTCTTATTATGATGATTCAGCATTAACATAATAAATGTACACTTGACATGGAGAAAATGAGTATCGGAGCACATCAGTGAACCATGCAAGAATACTTAAGTGACAACCAGGCACTTAGACCTTCCTCGATTAGGAATTTCAGTGTTGTAACTCTGATTTCAGTTCCTTGCATTTCAAATCAGAAGCTTTTTTTGAGAGTGAGCAGTGGAAATGTACAGCTTATTTATGCAGTGTCTGTCTTTAAACAGTAATAAAGAGTTTCATCACAAATTAATGCTCACTGAAACCAAGAACAGCAGAAAGGCATCACATCATTAATCTGGCTAGAAGAGATCCCAGCAGGGGATATTCTATGTAGAAAGGTACTTCAGGGTGCTCCAGCAAGACCTTTAGCAATGTGTGGGCACAAACCATGATTTCATGGAAAGAACTCAAGTTCCAGAGGACTTCCTTGTTACAAGAGAGGTTTATTTTACTACTGGGAGTGGGTGTCTCATAAACTCATATCTAACAGTATTTTATGCAGCAAGTGAAACCAAAGCACATTCAAGGGCAATGGAAGAACCTGAGCAAATGTGTTCGCTCAGTGCAGCTGGACTTACTGAGATGGCATGTAGGTGATGCCGCCAAATCTATTTTGGAGTATAATTGCAGTTGGGTAATCTCTAAGGATCCATGTGTAGTTTGATAACTACAGAATTCTTTGAAAGCAGAACCCAGTACTGTGTGTGCATCTGTATGCAAATAGATAGCAAGTTTAATGTTCAAGGGCATTGTGTCATTCCCCAAGTATAATGAGCCAAATTATCCCATTCTTACAGTTTAAGGCCCAAATTTAGCAATGCACAGAAGCACCTGCTTAACTTTAAACTTTGAAGTCAACAGGACTTAAACACATGGTTAAATGCTTTGCTGAATAGGGATGGTCTTAAAGTTAAGTATGTGCTTAAGCATTTTGGTGAATCAGGGCTTAAATAATGTGCTGTTATAGGCCAGTGGAACTTGCAGTGCTGACCAGTGAATATTACTTTTCTCCTGCATTTCAAAAAAGGGAGAAGCTTGAATGCCTAGCAGTTTAGGAGGACATATATCTTGCTTGCTCTCCAAAGCAATCTCCTCTGGCAAAATCTGGCACTAGAAAAAGGACTGTGAAATTCTGTAGTTTAAGTGCCATTTTGCCAGCTCTTGGATGTGGGGAGGGGTGAGCCAGTCTGCTGAATCGGAAATGAAACTTACTTTGCTTTTCCTAGTAAGTAACAGTTGCTATTTTTAAATAGGGGCCATACTGTTTAGAAAGCACTCATTTCAAGGTCCACACAAGTCTGGCGCATCTCTCCTGGCAATGTTAATTCTGCTTGGTTAGCCACAGTCAGCATTTTTTATCATTCACTTTCTGTTTTAAATCCTTCCAACCCAGGAGTCATTTGGTGAGTGAGAGAAAATAATTATGCACTAAGCTCTTCTCAGCTGCAGATTTCCCACTCTTTTTTCTATGTATCTAGTCATAATCTGGCTCGTATAAAACGTAAGCACTGCTGCACCATTAGCATTTCCCTCTGTGAATTTTTCTAATAATGTGCTACCAATTTACTTGAAAAAGAAGCCAGAATCTGTGTTCACAGCTAACCTGTCTAAATTCTGTTATGATATTCCACGAAACAGTAAATTGGGTGAAAAAGTCACTAAATATTCCTTTATTATATTCTTCGCAAAGCAATCACCTGGAAGGATTATTATTCATCCACTGGCTTTAAAATAATGTCACCCTGAAACTCCTTGTTCAGGCAAACAGAATTACTTCTGACAAGAATTCCTCTCTGCTAACACTGAGAAAGAAAAGCATTGAAAGACTACATAGATCTTACTCCGTCTAGTAAAGGGGCTTAGGGATAACAAAAGGCCAGCACCTCAGAACAACTCAAAAACTCCTGAGTAATTAAGGTAACCTGATTTGATTTGTACTTGGAAAAACTGAGCACTTGTGTGTGGAGAAATGATCTGTAAATGAAAGAGTTAGAGCTACATTAGTATTCTGCATTATTTGCTGCCATAGAGTGAAGTGAAGGAGAAAACAAAAACATGGAAATAAGAGGAAGAGGGAATGTGACAGGCATGAGAAGAAGAAAATGCTTCTTAGCTGTATGCTAGCAAGGGTGTTCTCTTTCCACTGGATCCCTTTCATGCAGCACAACTAGTGCTGAGTCCAAGCTGGGGTAGTCCAATTTGAATACAATCAAACCCCAATGAAGCTCTATCCATTTCTAGAACTGAAACTCTCTTAAGATTCTGAAATATCAGATTGTATGTGCCCTTTGCATTTGCAGGGCCAGAGCCGGGCATGTTGTCAATTTCCTCAGAAAGGTTCTTGTTGAGAAATTTCCATGTCAGCTTTGCAGTTTTGAGAAGTTTGAGTAGTGGTGATGCAAAACTCTAGGATGCTTCTCCAAACTACACCGGAATTCCAAATCTGGTGGGGTTTACTCAGTGCACGTTTAAAGAGAAGATTTTAGTGGCACAGTCAGCTGAGTAAATATAGGTGCTTTTGTTTGTATCTCAGCAGCTATCTCTTTCAGATGTGAATACAGAGAGTCCTCTTCCTTTCAGGGTTAAGTAGGAGGCCTATGTGTATAATAAGTAGGATCTTTCTGCCTGCACCAAAATTACCACACGTTACTTGAAAATGAGTGGTCTGATATTCAGAGGTGCTGACAACCTACAATGAGATCAGTGGGATCTGAGAGTGCTCTGCCTCTTTTGAAAAGCTAACCAACAATCCATTCTCACCATAGTGCAGTAGGAACCGTCAGTAAGTTAGCTGAACAACCCTTTGATTTGTCTTTGTCCTTCTATGCTGTAAATTCTTCAGGGCATGGACTGTCTCTTCTTACACAGCTGTACTGTGCTTAGCATATTTTGGGTGCTACTATCATTTTAAAAAAAAAGAATAAGTGACACTGGTATGGCAGAGTTATGTCTTTGCATATACCAAAAGATGAAAAAATGTCACTTTCACCTAGAAAATGTTTAGGAAAATAATACCTAGCTGTTTTAGTGGTTTTCATCTATAGATCCTTGCCACTATCCTGAGGAAACAGAGATACAGAAAGGCAAAATGACTTACCCCAGGCCATCCAGCAGTCAGTGGCAGACCTGTGTCTCTTGAGTAGTTCAAGTGCAGGACTTTATCCACTAAGCCAAGCTGCTTCTTCGTGTGCATCAGGAAAACTCATCTGGAACTTTCCTTTCTCAGTTATTAATCAGGTGCAGACTAAGGGTAGGATGCTCACACAAGCCCTCTAGTTAAAAGTAGGAAAAATGCGTAGCAAGGATACTCTAAATCTAAATGTTCTTCAGCCACTTCCTCCTTTTGGGGGATGATTCCAACAATGAGCCCTCTCGCTGGGACACACGTCAGTTAAACAGTGCCCTAGACAAAAGAGCCTGGTGGCTGTCCCAGTTATTTATAAGTGTGGACTAACATGCGCCTGTGGTTACAAAGATGTACCCTCATTAGGAAAGCCCTGCCCAGGTCAACACTTTATTCAGGTTGGCTGGTCGTTGCGGTCATCTTATACCCATTAGCATCAAACATTATTGGCATTGAAGAATCCCTCCCTTTTATCCCACACACATTCATTCTCCTTTCTTTCTTTCTAGACGTGAACTGCTATTATAGAAAAGGGCTTACTTGGAGGTAAAGGTCCAGTAGGTAGCAGAGTTGTGCCAAAGCACGTCTAAAAATAATTACTGCAACTGTATACAATGATTAACTCTTTTCTTCGTGCAAAACGAACTAGCTGCTACTTGGCAATTTCAAGCAATGTGACCCCCTATTGTAGCTATCTTAGCTTGTTCTTTCAGCTTTTAGTTATTAATACAGACACTTTAGTTATCAAAGGTTTGACAGAAATGAAGGATTGACCTCCTGTGATTGAAGATGCAGACAATCTTGGCTTGTTAAAATAATAAATGGGTACCTGTCAAAGAGGCATTCAGAGCAAATGTGACCCTTGTAGATATCTCTATTGTAGATTTTTTAAAAATCCTTCTTAATTAATTAATAATACTTTCTTTCACAGAGATAGATGGAAATACTAATTACTTTTTCCCTGTGAATCCCTCACTAGTACCACTTATCCTCCAATAATTAAACAACCTGAGGGAAAAAATGGTTGGTTAGAAGAGGTTAACAATGACAACTGCTGGAAAAGAATGGCATGTAAATTATTTCAAAGGCAGCAACAGTGGTTGTTAAGCCATAAGTGACCATTCATAAAGAATATAACAATGTGAAAACAGCCACAAGGCTTTGTTGTATTCTACCCTCCAATTTCTCGGCTCATCGTTCTCTTGGCTCTGAAACTGGGCAATAGAATTGTCTGACACCAATAATATGGCACACAACAAAACCCCCGTAGAATTATAAAGTCCCACTAAAGAGTGTTAAAACCCGGGGAGAGAGAAACAGACTTTTCTGTCCCATTCTGTATGGGCACTGCCATACTAACCTTTTTCAGCACTTAGAGCCCTGCGCTGTGATCTAACCGGATGCCCTATTGTACCCTATTGAAGTCAGTAGGACACAAATGTAGGATCAGGTTATCGGCCCAATAGCGAGACCTCAAACAGATATTATATGCGGTACTGTATCCACAAACACAGATTCCCACAAAACTACAATCAATCCCTTTGTATAGTCTCTTCCCACTAATCCCCCTCAGCCAGTATGTCTGCTGCCACTAACTACATACAACTCAGTATGGTGTTCCACTGTGGCTGCTATTAGCTCCACTGGTAAGAGCCCCAGGTTTCAGAAGGAAGCTAGCTTTACTATACAAACTTGGAAGGCCAATTGGGGAAAATGGCACATGCAGAATAACCCTATCACATTGCTTTCAGTTGCTATGTGCATGGCAGTGCCCAGAATGTCCAACTTTCTGTGGAGTTACTCTGGATTTACGTTAATATAAATGAGATCAGTCTCAGGCCCCTCATACCTTGTGAGTTCAAGCCAATCCTTCCTGAGATATTCAGATGCCTTTACTGTCGTGGAGATATGAGACTATCAAATAAAGCAACAGGTCATTTGTCTCATTTCTCTGAGGAAGGTTGGAGATGGCTTTATTGCAAAACTCTTCCAATTACTAATTCACTGTATTGTTAAGACCCCTGGTGTACTGCTTGAGAGAGAGGAATTGCCTCTTCCTATATGTACAAAGTAGGGAAGCCTCTTCATATCTAGAGTGAGTAATTGAATACACGTGTAAGTTCGTCCATAATAATTGTTAAACAACATTAGTTTAGGGCACTTGAAGCGTGCTGTGGAGAGAGATAATGAAATGAGCTGGTATTAAGAAATAGTCATCAGAATCTCCACTGGAAGCAAATCTAATGCTTCCAAGTATTTCTTAAGGTAATTATTTTAAGTAACGGATAAAAGCTGGAATTGTTATACTGGAATTATGTGGTGTGGGATATAATATAGCAGAAATTAAAAAGAAATGGAACAACAGAGTGCACAGTTAATGATTCCGATATCTTCTTACTTTGCTTTTTATATGCAAGAAAATGGACTCCAAATGTCCTCTGCTAAAAGCAAAAGAAAGAGACTTTTTCCCCCCCAAAGTTAATTTTATTTACATTCTAGGCTTGTATTGTGCAATCTGACCCACTTGTGTGAACCCCTGTGCCAGCACAGAGCCCCCTTCAAGTCAGTCATACTCACTGGTATTTGCACCAGATACCTAATTCTAGCAGTAATCTTTATCCAGTCAGGAAGCAGAAACATACCTCGTGATCCCTGTGAAATCATACAGCTCAGATTTAAATACTCACATCAAGCTGCTTGTAAAAGAGTTACAAGCCAAAAGTTATTTGCAGAAATTGTTCTGCAAATAATTCTGAATACAAAATTAATGTGTGAAAATAATGGTCTGTCCATGAGCTATTTATTACCAGCGGAAGAGGTGAAATCTCTCATATAAATTATATGCTGTGTATTGTTCTCCTAGCTCTACTTTTCCTAGTGAAAGCACATTTTAATTTTTTTTTTAAATAGTATAGACAGACAAACACATAGGGCCAATGGGAGTCTTGCATGAGTAAAGCGAGCAGGATTTGTCCTATAATAAATTGTGTCCTAGTCCTGTAATGTGTTGGAAATGGGGGGCGGCAATGAAAGGGGAGGCCCTACACACATGCAGGGGTCAGACTATGAACAATGCATTTCAGGAATGAGCTTCTTTTAGTAGGTAACATTGCATTGCTCTTATTTATTTGAGAGATTTTTGTGTTGTTTTTCTTTTGTTTTATTTTGGAATAATTCTGCTGAGTTCTGTGTTTCTAGGCTTTGATGGTACCAGTGATCAAGTACAGCATACGTGATCAGGTCCACTAGCGTGGACCCTTTTACCGTGCAAAATCACTCGCAGGATCAGGCCTTACTTTGTGGCAAAAGAATAACTGCCAAAGTGAGAATCTGATTGGTCACTGAAAATTCCAGGCCCAAATGTTGTTATGTATGTTGTGATCATCAGCATTTCCAGGACCTGAAATGAACGGAATGATAGTTGAGGGTGATTATTTGAGGGGGAGAAGGAAGGGGGATAAACTGTCTCGATCGCTAGCACCTCTTCTACCAAATTCCAGTCTGAATTACTTTTTTTATAACTTCCAGAAGACCTAGTCTGAGAAACTGCAGCAGACTCAATGGTGCTGTTGTAACAGACTTCCAACAGTTTCCTCATTTGTGGTGTTAGGTAAAATACTGTGGGTTAAGAAAGAAAAAGAAGGGAAACTTCAGTGGAATTCTCTCTGCAATAAATCTGGTTGCAGAAATCAGATCATTAGCTTTGAAATACTGAGAACAGGATGTGAATAATTTTTAGATCAACTGAGGACAAAGGCACTGATACTGGTATTCATTAGTCTAGCCAATAAAACAGTATCAAGGCATCAGAGGTCTTACTAAGATTGATGGAAATTGAGGCACAAATTAGGGTTTTTTTGTCTATGGATAATCAAAATCATTTACCACTTTCCAGCCACTACAGTATCTTTGGGACTAAAACTAGACTTGGAACTTTCTCAGTATATCATGATCTTCAAGAGGTCTCTTATGTTCATTTATTAAAGCGTTCCTAAGAGATTTCCAAATAGAAAGATTTTTAAACTGATCTGAAGCAACCCTGTATGAGGCATTAGTGTCTTGCAGAGGGAGAAGAGGGAAGTCTTACATAATCTCAGTTTGCTATTTTAGGCTTCCATCCTACATCGAGAACCACATAGGCAGATCACTGCAGAATCACTTGCAGGATTGGAATCATAATGAGATGAAGAGTCTTTATGACTTTGGTTTCATACCATTCTTGCAAAAGCCTTGGCAGGAGTGTTTAAGGTTATGTCTACATGACCACGTTTGTCAGTAACATTTTTTGGTCAGGGGTGTGAAATAACACACCCCTGACTGCCGAAAGTTACACTGATAGAAGCACCAGCAGGAAAGCATCTCCCACTGACATAACTACCGCTGCTGTTGGGGATGGTTTAATTATGCCGAGGGGAAAGCTCTCTCCCATCGGCATAGAGCGGCTACACAGGAGACCCTACAGCGCCGCAGCTGCAGTGGTACAGCTTTGCTGTAGTGGTCTGTAGTGTAGACCTGGCCTCAGAGTCTGATCCTCTGTCACTGAACTCAGTGGGAACTTTGCCATATGCTGCAGTAGGTGCAGGATCAGACCCTGGTAGAGGATCACCATTCCATGTGCTGCTGACAAGAAGCTTGTTGGTAGCAGCTCAGTGTTTCTGCTATGCAGGTTTCATAATAGACAGAAAGAAAATATAACTGGCACATAACCATTGCTGAATGGTTGCTAGTAATGAGATGAGTATTTCTTCAAGGTGGTAATCTATAATATGGCATATATTCCATTACTGTCCATGATGTTAAAATCTTGATAAATCATTTAGTACTCTAAAACACACTCAGAGATGTATTAAAGCCATCTACTGCAACACAAAATATGGAGGCCAAGATTTTAAAGAACTAATGAGTTTGTGTTTGTCAATTTTTTGGTGGCAAGATGCACATACCTTTACAGGGACCCATCTCTCAGAGGTGGTGCTAAGCTCTTGAAGAAAGTCTCAAATTAAGGTATCTCAAATTGAGCACCCAAATTCCATAGCCACTTTTTAAAATCTCAGCTATGGCATCTAATGTGCCACTATTGGCAAACCGTGATGCATTTCCTCAAATACTGAGGAGCTGTGCTCAAAAATTCAATTACCAGTACTTACTATTGTTAGATTTATTTTGATGTTTCACCTCTGAGGTTATGGGTAGGCAATTTTCTTTTAATGTGCTCTTTCATAAGCAAATCAGATAGCATAACAGAACACAGACTCACTTGGCAGATATCAGTAAGATCAACGTTAAATGTGCACAAAAGAAGGGTGTAGCATATTCTGCCTATATAGCTAGATGTTGTTAAAATGAAATCTCTAATTCCCCCAGAGATGCACAGTTGGTCGAGAGGGAGTGCCCATGGCTCAGTGAAAGAGTTCACTTTCGTTTCCAAGCAAAGAGAGCTTGAAGGAGGACATGTTCA